GGGTGTCTACTTTGTGTCAAATAGAATTTTCAATCTTTGTACCAATTGGACTATTCATCCATGTACCAACAAGGCTACCTGTCTTGGTGCCTTTGTAGTATCCCCGGTGCCTCAAATGTCTTTGCCAACCAGACCATCTAACTATGTGCCAATTAAATTACTGTCTTGGTGACAATAGGGTATCCATTTTAGTGCCAGTGGGACTTTCTGTCTCTAAGCATATAGGATCATCCATCCATGTACCAGTGGAGCTAGCAGTATTGGTGCCAATGGAATTGTCCATCCTCTTGACAATGGGGTCATTTATTCCTGCCACAATGGGCCCATCTATTTTTGTGCCAGTTGGGCCAACAACCAATGTACCAGTGGGTGGTCCATTCATGAAGAGATGTCTCCCTATGTAATGCTGCACACACAGACCTAACGTGGAATCCTGCAAAGATCCATAGTTAAACACTGTCCCATTTTGGCCTCTCATTTAAGGCTTTTGACTATCTTCTGTCCATTGTGTACTCACTTAAACTTGGAAGGGCTTGGGGGCCTTGAAAACAGGGAATCCCTAGCCCTCTGCCCAGCTGATGGGAGCCATCTCCTTTGTTGCAGGACTGACAGCTCCTTTAGTTTCATGGCATTCTTCTTCACCTTCATGGCCCAGCTGGTCATCAGCATCATCCAGGCTGTGGGCATCCCAGGCTGGGGCATCTGGTAAGAGACTGAGGTATCTGGGACTGATCCATGGCTAGCATAGGTGGCACCTTGTTAATGTCTTTTGCTTACCTCCATATGCTAAGCTGTCTGACCTGGGAGGACACTATGAATTATAGAAAGTATGATAGGATTCAAGCTACTGGAGTAGACACAGCCATAGCATTTGAGGAGAAGAAGACCTTACAGTGGTTTCTGGGGGCTGAGTGTCAAAAATCATGGGAGAACCCGAGGAAAAGAAGCATTATGTCTGAGGAGTTCATCTCCTGAGCCATGGGGAGGACTCTTCCTGAACCGCTGACATAGGCCCTTTGGGTATAAGTAAGATGGTCCCTTTGCACCCAATAATATGGTCTCTCCATGTGACAATGAGACGGTCCCTTGCTCCAGTATATAGTGGGGTGGTTCCTGGATAACCCTCACCGTGCTGGGTAGCCTCACAGTTGGCCTCTTCCTACAGCGGCTGGATTGCCACCATCTCCTTCTTTGGAACAAACGTTGGCTCAGCGGTGGTGATGCTCATTCCCACCATCATGTTCACAGTTGTGGCTGTCTTTTCCTTCATTGCCCTCAGCATGGTACGTGGTTACCTCAGGGTCATAGGGGGTGGCTTTGGAAAGGGGCTAGGACCCAGAAGTTTCCCCAGGGACTAACTGTGGAATGGCTTGGTGGACTTTGCTCCTGATGCACAGAGCACAGGTGGGAGGGGGGACTAGCTTTGATTAACTCTTCCTTGTGCTCCTCCTCCTCCAGGTTCATAAATTCTACCGGGGCAGTGGGGGAAGTTTCAGCAAAGCTCAGGAGGAGTGGACCACGGGGGCATGGAAGAACCCACACGTGCAGCAAGCAGCCCAGAATGCAGCCATGGGGGCAGCCCAGGGTGCCATGAATCAGCCGCAGACTCAATATTCTGCCACCCCCAACTACACATACTCTAATGAGATGTGAGCCAGCCAAGCCTACTGGGAGGCAGGGCTGGGGGATGATGGGATGGGGCTCAAGTCACATAATCTGTTGTGGTGACCAAGCAGGGTTCTCCCTTTCCTTTTCTCCTCTTTGTACAAAGAAAAAGAAAGAAAGATAAAAATATATATATATATATCCCCTGCCCCTTTGGATTTTGCTCTGAGCATTCTAAGAGCTGTAGGCTGCACATGGAGCTGCCCCATGTTGCAGTAGTAGTTGTGTCCATGTCCCATGTAAAGTCGTGTGCAGTGGAGGTCTCTGTTGTGGTGCTAGATGTATATTTAGAACTAAATCAGCCGCCTACCCTCCATCTGGCTACTCCCTCTGACCTTGGCCCAAGGACCCCTCATGGGACAGGAGGCATAGCCGAGAGAGCCTGGCCCCCTCCCCAGGGTGATGAGTTGAAACTGTTTCCACTTTTGGTCTTATTGGGAAGTGACACTCTTTAGCACTCATGGTAGTGGTGGTAGTGGGTGGGAGGGTGGGACAGGCCGGGGATCTTTCCTTGCTCCTAATTTGAGTACCCTTCCCCTCCTCTCTTTCTGCTGTCACATTCCCTGTGGTCTATTCTCTTGCCCAGGATTTTTCTCTTCCCCATGTGGCTTTTCTTTGTCTTCCCCAATGCTGAATGTCGCAGTAGTATCTGCTCCTGAGACTGAGCCCATTCCCAGATCAAAGAAGCAGATAGGAATGCTGAGCCTTAGCCCTGATGTGGGAGGGCACACTGATGCAGAGCCCTTTGGGCACCTGTCTCGCAGGGAATGGCATTGCAGTGTCATCTCCCTGACTCTCAGAGCTAAGCCTGTAGAGGCAGGCTCCTCTTTTTCCTATCCTGCTTCCCCTGCTTCTCTTCCAAGCGACCCCTCGAGCCCCTCTGCCTAGGTCTCTCCCCAAACCCCAAGCTGCTGTGGCCTGATGCTGCCACCCTACCCTGCCTTCCCTGAAGAATTGGGTGGTGTTCAGGCAAAGGTACAGCTGAAGTAGAGGATATGTAAATAATTATTGTTTCCTGGGTGAGGTCTGGCTGGTTCAAGCCTGCAGGGAGGTACTAGGTGTCTCTGAGTTGACTGACCATTGGATTCCTGGCAGCAGTAGCTGTTCTGTGTGCTTCTGGTAGAAGGGATAGGCTCAGAGGGCTGGGCCTGGAGGGAAGATCAGAGGAGAGGGCAGGCATGGCCCATTCAGAGGGCTGCATGACTCCCCCTTGCCAACTTGCTCTTGGTCACAGGGCAGTTCTGGGCACTTGAATTTAGGGCCCAGGAAGAAGCAAAGGGCCAATCTTTTCAGCAGGCTCAATGGCTGGAATGGGATTTCAGGTTAGTATTGGTGGGAAGGGAGCCTCTCTGGCTTTTGTTTGTTTTTTCACATCAAGATAACTTGCTACCTTCTGCCTACTGGCCTTGGTTCTTGGCCCTTCCTCACCCTGCCAGAACCCCTTTCTCTTCCAGGACAGTGATTTCAGGGTTATAGGGCTATTCTGCTCCAAGTATTATGAGAATGTTGCTGGTAAAGACCCTGGCTCTCTGAGGCCTGGAGGGGAGTGGATTCTCACTCAAGGAGTAGCTGCTCATTTCCTACTCTCCCTTCTCCTACCTGGGTATTTGGCCTGAAGAACCAAACCCTGCTTGGCCATTGTGGACTGGCTCCAGCTTGGAACCCAGCACCTGGGCTTCCAGTTACGATCCTGAGCTTTGAGCTCCAAGCACTTAATTTTCCTATAAGGGAGCCAGGGCCTCTGGGAAGTTCTCTTTCTAATGGTCCCTTAGGCTTGGGCCAGAGTGTGATTGGCTCTCTCCTCTACCACTTTCTCTCCAAAAAGCATTTGTTACAGCCCATAGTACACTAGGTCTAGGTTCTTCCTTCCCTGTCTTCTCCCCAAGCCCAGACCTCTGGCTCCCTTTCTCTTAGTCTCTGTGGTAGCTTCAGAAGGCCTGTGGTCTAGCTGCAAGCCCAGGATCCAGGACCTGCTGGTTACCACCTCCAGTCAATTTCCTTCTCTTCCTGCCTTTCCTTTGTCCTGGCCCAAGACCTATGTGACCATGCCTGATTGTCCTTGGAAGGCCTGCTACTTGTGTGTGGCTGAGCTTGTCCAGGCCCTTGGATGCTGCATCTCCAGGCAGCTAAGCACTTTTCTGGTGAAAGATCTAGTATGAGAAATGGGGCTGGGCACAGATTCATCTCTGCAGGATGGTCTGGGGGGTGGGGTGGAAGAAGCCCACTTCAGTTTTTTGAATCCTCAGGTTTGCAGCCAGTGACCTGTTTTTGTATTCTTATTTCTGGGAGACATAGACCATTCTCCATCTGGCAGTTGAACTGCTTGAGCCAGTGTGTCTGTGGTAACTGAGTGAACCATAATAAATGGGAACATTTGGCCCTGTGTATCCTGCTGTGTCATGTGTCTTCATCTGGGCCTGTGTGGAGCCTCACCTGTGGGCTGTGGGGTGTGGAGGTAGGGTGGTTTGCAGGAGGAAGTAGAAGGCTGGATTAGTGGGGGAGGGGTAGTTTGGTCCAGATAGTCCCTGCAGGCAAGGGCAGAGGAAGAGCACAGAGGGCCCCACTCAACTCTCATGATGGAAACTGGCAGCTGACTGAACAGCCTCCGGGGCAAAGTTGCCTCCACCTGCTTGCTCCAGATGCCTTCCTGTTGCCATGCCGCGCACACCATATGGACTGCTGTTTTGGTAGTCTACGCACCTGCTCATCCTTCAGGATTCATCCCGAGTGACTCCTCTGAGATGGTTTACCTGCCTCTATGTGTTTACACCCCTCTGCTTCTTCATGGGGGACCTTATTCTGTAATTTTCTGTGTTCCTGCTTGTCTCAAGAGCAGGGATGCGTCTGATTTATCTCTGTAACCCTTGCACTTAAAACAGAAGAGGCTTGCCGTAGCGCCGGTTTGGCTCAGTGGATAAAGTGTCGGCTTGCGGACTGAAGGGTCCCAGGTTCGATTCCGGTTAAGGGCATGTACCTTGGTTTCGGGCACATCCCCAGTAGGGTGTGTGCAGGAGGCAGCTGATCAATGTTTCTCTCTCATCGATGTTTCTAACTCTCTATCCCTCTTCCTTCCTCTCTGTAAAAAAATCAATAAAATATATCAAAAAAAAAAACCCAGAAGAGGCTCGCTAAGTATTCAGTATTAAATGCCCCACGATGAGCAGTGTTTATGTGTGGGATGGGGGTGTGGAGTGAGGAGGCTGGGCAATTAGACGAAGCCCAGGTGAGAGCACCAGAAAAATCAAGAACGGTGAGCCTGGGTTCGGCGGCTGAATTCCCTTGAGTGGACTACAACTACCACAAAGCAAAGAAATGGACTACAACTCCCAGAAGGCTGTGCGATCACGTAGGCTGCTAGATGCTTACGTGAAGTTGTGTGCCAATTAGAATCAGCGCGAAATCGACAGAGATAGTGCGATATTTGGGTTTACCCGAGACGCCCCTGGCGAGGGTGAGGAGTCAAAGGGAGCTGGGAAACTGGGGAGGGGGTAAGGGGTTGGAGACTGGGTCTTCTAGCCGGGCAGGAGGGAGGTCAGGCCGGAAAAGCTTCGCTTGCGACAGTGGTTCTGCGGCTGTGCCTATGTCCTCACTTTCGTGTGTGTGTGTGTGTGTGTGTGTGTGTGTGTGTTCGCGCGCGCGCTCCACCTCGTTTTCCTATCTATCTGTAAAGCTCAGCTTGCACTGTGGGTCAGCATGTAGGGACTGTGGAGCCTGTGGGTACTTAATTTTCCTATATGTGCTCCTGGGCCGGAGCATTAAGGACCTCTTTCCGGCTAGCAGCGGTTCTCAACCTGTGGGTCGCGACCATCGGAAAACACATATAGCATGTCAGATACTTACATTATGATTCATAACAGTAGCAAAATTACAGTTATGAAGTAGCAACGAAAATAATTTTATGGTTGGGGGTCACCACAACATGAGGAACTGTATTAAAGGGTCGAGGCATTAGGAAGGTTGAGAACCACTGGAGAGCCTGAAGTGGGGAATTTGTATCTTGCGTTCTCATCCCCTCTTTGCGCTGGTAGGCGATAGTCCAGTGCTGTTTAATCTAGTTTAAATGTGGACCCTGTCAGTTCCCCACACTTAACGTTTGCCTTAAAAAAAAAAAAAAGGAATCATGATCCTGCTTCCAAAAAGTAATAGGGACTGCCGAAAGGACACACTACTATCTTTTTTTATAAAAAATATTTTTATTGATTTCAGAGAGGAAGGGAGAGGGAGAGAGAGAGAGAGACATCAATGATGAAAGAGACTCATTGATCTGCTGCTTCCTGCAGGCCCCACACTGGGGATCCAGCCCCCAACCAGGGTATATGGCCTAACGGGGAATCCAACTGTGACCTCTTGGTTCATAGTCCATGCTCACCCACTGAGCCATGGGGCCATCTTTTGGTGAAATAGAAAAAGGAGAGCCCTGGGATATTTCTGTTATCTCATAGATCCACCTAAAAGTACTGACTGGCATTTAAAAATTAGAGTGAGGCCAAATTTTGTCAAGAGAAAAACATCATGCTGTTTTTTGAAGTATTGGAGGCCCATGCCAGATAATGGGCAGGAGAGATTCCCATGTTGGGAAAGTGGTGGTGTCTTGGAAACAAGGGTTTTCCACATTTGTCCTTGTGGCTGAGAGTTGGCAGTACTCAGTCTCTTGCTAGTAGCCTGTGTATGTGAATATTATCTATCTCCTCAACATACAGTGTTGAGAAGGTTCTCCTAATGAGATTACTGGTGCAGCAAAGTCAAGTATTCTGGCCTCTGGTTTGTGAGAACAGTCTTAGAATGCCAAGGTCTTGAGTGCTCCCTGAAGAGTTCCTTGCCTTTCCTTGGGGGAGAGGGTTTAAAGTACCCCTGTGGCCATGAGACTCCTTTTAAAAATATATATTTTTATTAATTTCAGCGAGGAAGGGAAAGGGAGAGAGAAAAACATCAATGATAAAGAGAATCATTGATCGGCTGCCTCCTGCACACCCCACACTGGGGATCTATCCCAAAACCCAGACACGTGCCCTGACTGGGAATCAAACTGGACCTCCTCATTCATAGGTCGATGCTCCACCACTGAGCCATGCCGGCCAGGCCATGAGACTACTTTTAATGACTTTGGGTTTGGGGACATGGTGACATTTTAGGGAGCGACAAGTGGTTCATTATTACTGAGGCAGAGTAGAGTATGTTGACTGGTGGGAGATTGGGCTAGAGCAGAAGCCTGGAGCCAATAGTGAGGGGCTTGGACACTAGGCTAAAGGATTCAAGTGCTTAATGTATGCTGGATCTCTGCCCACCCACCCCTGAGTTACATTCTGCTTTGGTCCTAGGCCCTAGCACCTCATCATTCCTATCTTGGGCTGGGCTCATACCCTGTCTGGCCCTTTCTTAGCCCTGGTTTGCTCTGGCTCCACACCTGACCTTATTGTGACTGGCAGCTCCCTAAAACCTTTACTTAACTCTGCCATAATGAAACTCATCATAGGAGATTTACACACCATGACCCTGCTACAAACTGAGGCTCTTTACTCTGCCCAGCCCTGTCTTTCTAAAGGACAGAGGAGTTGCCATTTTTCTTTCTGTGGCTTACCTGCGTGGCTTGTGCCCTGGGAGCTTGAGGCTCAGTAATCACAGCCCTCAGCCCTGTAACCTCTGCCTGCCAACTCTTTCTGCTGCTTAAGAGTTCCTTATGAGTACTCAGAGCCCAGGGAAATGAGGCGCTGTCTACAGCTACCTTGGCTATGCAGATAGGTGGTTCTAACAGGAACTGGACAGAGAGTAACAGGCTTACTAGTTTGTGATCTGATCTTTTGTGAGTATAAACAAAGAACTCCTGCCAGTTGTCATCCTCCATGGGATTATCAGATTGAATTGATTTGACCTTGCTTTCAAATAAATGTGGGTTAAATTATCCACTTTCTATTCCTCAAATATAATTCTCCCTGACCCCCACCTTTTCTAGAAAGGTAGATAAGTTTGGGTCCTTAGCAAAGATGGCTCCAGAGGCCTAGTAGTAAATCTTGGGCTGTCCCACCTACTGCGGGACATAGTAGAAATCACCAACATGGATTCCTGCCCTAAGTTTCACTGATTGCTTTCAGTAACCCGTTCTTTAGGGATATCAACTTGATGTGGTGGAGGTTCAGGGGCTGCAGAGATGAAATTCACCTTCTGGTTTTGCAGGAATTTTTCTGTCCTAGCACCAGTTGGCTAGGGTAGGACAGGATCAAGATTTGAGATCTGGTAGGTAGGTTTCCCTAGAGCAGCGGTTCTCAACCTGTGGTTCCGACCATCGGAAAACACATATAGCATATCAGATATTTACATTACGATTCATAACAGTAGCAAAATTACAGTTATGAAGTAGCAACGAAAATAATTTTATGGTTGGGGGTCACCACAACATGCAGAACTGTATTAAAGGGTTGCGGCATTAGGAAGGTTGAGAACCACTGCCCTAGAGAGTCAGACATGTGCTTCCATCACCTACTATGGGTGCTGATCAGCCTATTGATTAGTTCTGGGAAAAAGCTGGACAGTACCCTCTAGACCAGGGGTCCTCAAACTTTTTAAACAGGGGGCCAGTTCACTGTCCCTCAGACCGTTGGAGGGCCGGACTATAGTTTAAAAAAAAACTATGAACAAATTCCTATGCACACTGCACATATCTTATTTTGAAGTAAAAAAACAAAACGGGAACAAATACAATATTTGTATTTGCATGTGGCCTGCGGGCCGTAGTTTGAGGACCCCTGCTCTAGACCTTGCCAGTTGCTAACAGGGCTCTCCAGGCCCTGGAGTAGACTCAGTTTTGCTCTGAGCAAGCAGGGCTTTGATTGAGGCCCTGGTGTAGAGCAAAGATTGAGATCATTGGCAAATGGCACTTCGGGGGAGTCTTACTGAAGGGAACTGGCCTGTGTTTAACCCCTGTTGAGGAGGGTCTGGGCCTCTGGGAGACCCTTACAGGTAGGAGTGGGATAATGAACCCAAATGTGATCCTTAGCTCATGAGGCTGTGTGCCAGACTCTTGAAAGCAAATACTGGGCAAGAGGCCCTAGTGAGCCAAGGGGCCTGTGGTGTGAAGAGGAGGACCCTATGGGTACACAGTCACAGAGGTAGCCATTGGGCAACTTATAGGCACTTCCTCTTCAGAGTCTACGTTAGTGTCTCTTCCCCTGCTGATTCTGCCCATTTGAGGACCCTCTAGTACAGAGAGCCATTGCCACTGTCTTTCCTGCATTGACTCAAAGTTTTCTGCTGGAAGAAGCTTCAAAGATCACCTGGTCCTATCTCTGCATCTTCAGATGAAGAGACAGGTCCAGGGAGGGAAGTACCCTGGCCAAGGTTACGCACCAAGTCATGAGCACAATCATGGACAGGGCCCAGGGCTCCTGATTCACTGGCCAAGTTTCTGTTCTCTCCCCCACCCTGTTTCAGAGGGTGCAGTTTATTATTCATTCAGCAGATGTTTAGGACCTACCAGGAGGCTGGTGGTTGGTGATTATACCTGGGCACACATTCAGGGGACTTGCTGGTGGCAGTGGTAGTGGTGGGAAGTGGAGAGGGAGAGGCAAGGAAACTGATGAACAAATTTAATCAATGATTATTTAAAAAAGTGCATCCCAGAGAAGGACCCATTTTAAATGATGTCAGATGTAATTCCTCTCTTCTAAACTCATCTATAGATTCCCTGAAGACAGCATCTGTCTTCCACAGTTCCTTTGCCCAGTGCTAGATGTAATTGGTCCTTAGAGATTGTTGCTGATGGAATATGTCTTGCTGTCCCAGTCTTCAGAGCATAGGTTTTAGTGTGTCCAAGTTATCATGGGCATTCACGTCCAGCAACATCTGAGGGATAGAGGAATAAACCAATCAGCTGGTCTCACAGGGTGACCTACATCCCTTTATGCTTATCTCTTCCTAGGCTTGGATTTGTAGAGTGGTGCCCAGTCTGATCTACAGGGACAGGGACAGAGGCAAATCTCTTAGCTCCCTGAAGCCCTCTGGCCCCCTTGTTGCTGAAGGTTCCACCTCACAGGCATTCTGCCACTCCCTTCAGTCAATCAGCCTGGCCCACTACAGTAGCTCCTTACCCTGCCCCTCCAATCTCACCACCACCAGCACCATCTTTCTAAAATGGAAACTCACCCTTGACCTGACTTTACAGCCTTACCTCCCCACGCCCATTACACTTTAGCCTCACTACTAAGCTGCTCCCTGTTCACCAAGCCTGCCACCTTTCTTTACGCCTTTTCATCTTTGTAAGATTGCTCCACTATCAGTAACTTGCAAGGTTATTTCCCTCTCTCTGGAAAACTTACTTGTCTTTTAGGACTCAACTTGAATGTTAATTTTTCCTCAGAAAGTTACTACTGGCAGCCATAGTTCCTGGTATTGACCTTCCTCACAGTGCTGGCCACATTACATTGTAATTGACCTATGTGTGGTGAGGGTGTCTGGCCTTCTTATCAAACTGTGCTCCCAGAAGCTGGGACTGCTGATCCCTCAGGAACCCCAGCAGCTGGGAGGTCTAACAGGGTGCTCAATACATTTTGGTTGAATGTATAAATGAAGTGGGCACCCCTTGTTCTGCTTTTAGATTCCAAATCCTGACAGCTTTATGGAGCCCAGTTCTGGCAGGCTCCCAGGACTCGAAGCCACCAGACCCCACATGGAACCAAGGGCCTCGTGTCCAGCCGCTGCGCCCTCGGTAGAGAGGCAGTTCCGTGTCCTTGTGGGTGTCACTGGGAGTGTGGCGGCCCTGAAGTTACCTCTCCTGGTGTCACAGCTTTTGGACATTCCTGGCGTGAGTATCCTTACTAGACAAGCATGGCGACCTCTGACGTTAGAGAGTTGCTGGTCCTGTAGCCAGCCCACTTTTGTGCAGTGCACAGGGCTTTCTTTTTCTTAATTATGGTGTTTGTGGCTGTCTGTGTACATTGGTGTGAGGGGAACGCAGGACACAGAGACCAAATTTGCCAGTTTAACCAGGAGCTGGATTAGATAGTTTGGACAGAGCTTAAGGGAAGACTGGGAAAGGAACACTGATAAATGGAGGCATTGAGTTTCCATATGTTGACCCTGAGATTCCCTAAGGTCCTGGTGTGGGAGGAGGTCTAGCTGGAGAAATGGCAGCAAATTCTCTGTGTTCCCTTCTGCTTTGGGCTCCCTGCCCCTGCTTTCACTCTGTCTTCTACACTGTGGTTCTGTTCTCCCTCCTTAGACACCATGGCTGTCCTATCAGTCCAAGTGCATTGTTCACAGCTCTGGTTTAAATTTTGCTCCTTCAAGTGTTCATCAATGCCCAGGGGCCACTGCATTGTGTTCAGTGTGAGGGGTTTAATCCCCAGCCATTGGCCAGACCATCTCAACTTTAATCAGTTTAATATATTGGGGTTCTGGGGTAGGGTAGAGTCTTCTGTGGGAAAAGTTCTACGCTTTAAACAGTGTGAAAGCCAGCAGGTAACCCATTTCCTCATCTGGTATCCAAGTGCCTTCATTGATCTCCCACTGCCCCACACTCCATTCTGAAGGCCTTTGCTTTGGCCATTCCCTGCCAGGCTGCACTGCCCTCTCTGTCTTTCCAAATTCTGCACAAAAAATTCATGTAGAAACCTTCCTGGCCTGCCTCAACCCATGTGATTTTGCTCCCTTGCAAAACTCATTTAATGTATTAAAGTGGTAAGAACATTTTATTCAGAAAAGTTATGGCAGAAAAAGTTATTCAGAAAAGTTAAGCCCAGTATAGAACTGGGCTTAATTCTGAATACAACAAGGAAAAGTAGGGATTATAGCCAAGGAGCACTGTGGGAGCCAGTGGGTGGAAAAATTGCTAAGAGGAAACATTCTGACTAAACTGTCCCAACAGGATTCTTGCTGAAAGCAGGCAGGGTGATCAGACATCATCTGGATGAGAAGCCTGATGAGACCCAGGATAGTCAGATATCGAGGGGGGTAGGGGTGGGCTTCTGGAGAAACCAACGTATTAGCAGGATTGTTGCTCTTGAGGACAAGGCTCAAGACAGGCCAAGTCAAAAAAGTAGCTCACTACAGTTTGGTCAAGGAGAGAATCTTGATTAAGATAGGGAACCATCAACTGCCTTTGACACTGCTTGTGTTGTTGGAGACTAGTTTTGTGGAGTGGTGTTAAGCCACTGGGGCTTGGGTGATGCTTTTCCTTGATTGTTATCTGCACAGCTCCTGATGCAGGATGGCACAGGTGGGTGTACCCGGTGTGTCCAGCAGGGTGCAGTGCTCATCAGCAGATGAACATGTTGAGATTCCAGGCAGGGGCTGGGAAATCTTTCACTAAACTTCTACCCAGAAAATCAGCCCCTCATCTCACACCCCCACCCCCACCTCCCAGGCCAGGAGAAGCAGTAAAGCAGGCAGCCATGGATGCCAGCTAGGCCAGATAGGGAAAGAGAGGAGAGTCTTGTGGCTATTCCGAGGCTGGCACTGGTGCTGCTGGGGCAGGGCTACCTGGAGCCTGCCACCCTCATGTGCCCTAAACTGTTGGTAGGAGCTGGCCAGCAGAGCCCTGAGGGTGGGAGGCCTGGAAGGGATTGCAGTAGCAGCAGCCTCTGCCATTGCCCCCCTAGGGAGGGAGGAAGACACGTAGTTTCCCTTTCCCATAGCCCCAGAGCAAGTACATTTCCAGACTGGCTGGTGGCAGGGAGTCCTAGCCCAGGAAACAGATGGGCAGCTTCCACGCATCCTGCCATTCCACGCAGCCAGCATTTATAGGGGTATGAAGAAAGGGTTGCCTGGGGCAGGAAGGTTCTCCAGCCCACTCCAGGCTTTTTAGCCTGGTCTGCTGAGGGACAGGCTGTATCTGGAACAGGACTCAGTTTTCCCTCTCTGGCTGGAGTTGAAGCCAGAAGATGGGTAGCCAGAAAGTCACTGACCTGGGAAGAAGGATGTCCTGACTTAGCCTCATGGAGCCTGCTTTTTTTGGTTTAAAATTAGGATGCCTACTCTCACCCATCCCTTTGGGCTCTTGTCAAGGCTCAGAAAGGGCGACACAGATGGAACAGTTTGTCATCTTGTGCCAAAAGCTAGGCACAACTCCTGGCACAGGAAAGCACTTAACAGTGTTTGTTTCCTGTCCTTCACTCTCTTTCCCCTTACTGTTATGTCCTTTGGGCCAGCCATATGGGAAGAATCATGGGATCCACAATCCATCTGTTCAAGTAGAGGGCCCACATCCATGTCACCTTTGGCTCTCTCATCCTGCAGGTAGACAGCTCCTCAAAGAGCCTGGGTTTGCTTGGTGGGGCCCTTGTGAGGTGTTGGTAACTAAGGGGGATCCCTGGCTTGCCTTGTGTTGACCCTGAGGTAGCACTTCTCCACATTCTCTGATGGCACTGATCTCCCCATTTCTGCATCACCCCCGAGGAGCAATCTTTGTCCCTTGAAGCAGTCCTCTGCTCTTTGTCTAAGTCATGGGTTCACGTGCCAAGGCACCCTTAGGTATACCTAGATTCTGACTAGCAAACAAGAAGCTGGGGTGTGGCTGCAGGGAGTTGAGTGATTCCGCAGATGTGGCTCATAACTACTCCTGATTCACCTGTGTCCAGTCATCCCAGCAGAGCCACTGACATAGAGCCAGACCAGGGAAATTGTGAGGGCATGAGGGAGAGGAATGGATTTGGCCTCAAGACTCACATACCAACTGTCAGGGAAGGGTGGCCACCAACAAAGTAGACTTGGAGTCTTTATGTGAGGTGGGGGGAGTTGGACAACAGGGGCCAGCCTTACCTCAAGAGAGGTAGCTGAACCCGGCCGGTGTAGCTCAGTGGTTGAGTGTCGACCTATGAGTCAGAAGATCAGGGTTCGATTCCTGGTCAGGGCACATGCTCGGGTTTCAGGCTCCATCCCCAGTGCGGGGTGTGCAGGAAGCAGCTGATCAATGATTCTCTCTCATCATTGATGTTTCTCTCTCTCCCTTCCTCTCTGAAATCAATAAACATATATATTAAAAAAATAAAAAGAGAGGCAGCTGAGCGTAGAGGATTCCTCACTCTGGGACCCTGGGCAAGTTAGTTCTTTATTGCCTCAATTCCCCTTCCCTTCCCTTCCCTTCCTTCCCTTCCCTTCCTTCCCTTCCCTTCCTCCTCCCTCCCTCCCTCCCTTCCTTCCTTCCTTCCTTCCTTCCTTCCTTCCTTCCTTCCTTCCTTCCTTCCTTCCTGTC